GGCTCTGCGCTCCTCAAAACCTACTGATCAGAGGCCTTGCTGCCTGATTATTTTATCGTCATACCCAGGACGAGTATAAAATAAAAATTATACTCTTAAACTACTGGTTATATAAAGTTAAAGATATTTTATTTTTGAACATACACAATACCAATTTCTTAGTAATTGGTTCCATCTCTATTTTACTTTTTTTAAGAATCAAGGATGGCAGTGATAAAAATCTGTCATCACAGGCTATTGCGAGTAAATAAACGGCATTTTCATGATATTTTAAGCAAAAAGTAAGCATTACTGTATTTTTTTTAAATTCTTAAATTTACTTATTTAATTTGAAACACATCTCTAGGACAAATACGGAATTATTAAGAGATTTAATTTTTTTGTCTACAATGCCGATTTGATTGGTGATGGGTAAACGTGCCAGTGTTTTAAAAATACCTCAGTCAGTTATGTGCCATGCATGATACACGCTTAGGCGATCATATATCTTTCGATACATGACTGGCGAGGCAGATTTTTTTTCTCCGCAGTGGGTTGCTATTTCTTTCTGCGGTAGACCAGTTGTCATCTATAGAACCTGGTCTGTGTACCCATAGCTGGGGAGAGAAGAAGAGGATTCATACGTTTACCAAGGGTAAGTGAATGTAATGCATTCGACTGATATTCGAACTCGGCTCTCCGATCCATTACTCCATCGACCTGCAAATAAAATTTGCATACCATAATTTATTTTCATACGGATTACCTTTCTCTTTTAAATAAATTCGTTATTTTACTTGTAAGGAAACAATTAAATAGATGCCCCCACAAAAAAAAGTTCCATATGCATTTAAAAAAAAACAGAAAAATCTTTCTTGAAACTTTAATTTTATTTTTAATTCCAAGCTAATAGATTAAATTTAATATTCCTAATAATCAAAATACTTTGAGGCATTTCAAAACGAATTTAAATTGTTTGGAATCATTTTTCTCCTTATCAGGAAAATCTCTAAATTCGTCCATTTTGATAGAACTATCAACGCGACATAAATTTTATTTAAAAAAAAAATATCGCAGAAAAGAATCTTTTTTATAAGGGTTGGGTTTTTTTATAAGGTGCAGGGTGGAATGTTTTATAAGGTGCAGAGTAGGGTTTTTTTATAAGGTGCAGGGTGGGGTGTTTTATAAGGTCCAGGGTGGGGTTTTTTATAAGGTGCAGGGTGGGGGGTTTTATAAGGTGCAGGGTGGGGGGTTTTATAAGGTACAGGGTGGTAGTGTTTTATAAGACAGCAGGGTGGATGTTTTATAAGGCGCAGGGTGAGGGTGTTTTATAAGGTACCAGGGTGGGGTGTTTTATAAGACGCAGGGTGGTGGTGTTTTATAAGGTACAGGGTGGCGGTGTTTTATAAGGGCCAGGGTGGGGTGTTTTATAAGGTGCAGGGTGAGGGTGTTTTATTTGTTAAATGATTGATTGACAGTCTGAAGTTTGAAAAATTTAAGTAAAGAGGATATAATTGAAAACAAATTTAATGACTAATACAAGAGCAACGCCTTTTTATGTCATTTCTTTTCTACCCAGTAAACTTAAAATTTTAAAATATTTTAAGCCTTCTATTTTATTAAATTTTAAGTACTTTGCATTATAGTCTTACTGACGAAGATGCTTGTTGAGGAAATATTAGGAAATTACCAATAAATTTTAAATTTACTATAGGTACCTCTTTTATTTTTCTGATAATGTCTTGAATGAGCGCCCGTATTTACAAACATTTTTATACTCACATGAAATAAATTCAAAACTCGTTTTAAAATGCTGCGTTCGTTGAATTAAAGTGAGCTTTTCCATTTATGGAACAAATACAGTTTTAATTTACTAACACTATCACGTGACCGCTACAAATTAATACAGAATTTTCAAATATTAAACGTTTATAAATTATTCTGATTAAATTTTTTAGAAAATGATAATAATTCTCGTTAAAAAGCAATATACATCGAAAATCTATTTTTTAAGACAATATTTTGCATAATATATTTTATTCATTAAAACAACTAAAAGCTTTTCTAATTAAATAATATCTTGATCTTTTTGCAATTTTATTTTACAATTCAAGGCACATTCCCTGTAATTGGGATCCTGTTTGACCCAAAACAGTTCATGATTTAAGTTCTCCGAGGACTTGGGCTTAAAACAAATATAAACATTAAGCGATAGAAAAAAAGAATTTCTCGAAATTTCATGAAATAAATAGAGTGTGGGTAACAGATATAAAAAAAAAAAATATTTATAATAAACAGTATTAAACAACATTTACTGGCCTGAATGTCCGAGAAATTTTCAGGCCGGTAAATGTTGTTTAACACTGTTTATTATAAACAAACATTTACTTAAATATTTGTATCTATAAAAAGAATGTATAAACATAAAATGTCTTATAATAATTATCGGACTTTGTCCATTTCATAATATATATATATATATATATATATATATATATATATATATATATATATATATAGGGGGCAACAATCCCTCTTTTATATATGTTTCATTAAAGGCGACTGACAAAGTAGTGCGATTAAGCTTTTATTCAGTTTTTCTTGCGTTCGTGTAAGTGATTTATTTTCTGCACATGAAGTGTGTAAAATTTGTTCAAATGTTCTATATATCCGAGCGCTTTCAGCCATTCTTTTAGCCTTTATCAAGGATGTTTTTTTTAACTGAATGTGTAGATTTTATATATGTTTTTCACACACTTTATATATATATATATATATATAAAAGCGAACATTGAAGTCAACACTCAGAGGCGACAGACTGTTTCATGCTAAACGCAAACGTCAAGCCTGATGATTGCGTTTAGCATGAAACAGTCTGAGTGTTGACTTCAATGTTCGCTTTTATATTTACATACGCTCTATCGCTAAAATTGAGCTCTTTGTCCCATAAATATAGCATACCTTAAAACTATATTTCTTCATATATATATATATATATATATATATATATATATATATATATAATAAATCCTGACGGAATTATAAGTTATTGACATTATTTGGAAAAACGTTCATGAAAGTATGTTTCGAAAATAATATCCGATAATGCATTTCGCCTCCATGGCTTCATCAGATGGATAACGAAAAAAATGTGTTGTGTCCTTTGTGTGTGTGTGTGTGTGTGTGTGTGTGTGTGTGTGTGTGTGTGTGTGTGTGTAGACATAGAGAATCATACAAATTTTGCAAACTGCTGCAAAACAAAATTCACTTACTTATATATGGATCCAGGGGATATCATGGAGATAACTGCTCGGGATGAGAAATTAGAGAGCCGAGTTCGAATTCCGGTCGCGTTCGTTACATTCTCAAATACAGGAGTTTTGAATCAATCTCTTCGTCTCCCCCTAGCTGTGGTTTAAATATTAGAGCAGACTTTTAAGAATTTTTTTTAGCTCAAGTTTTAGCAGTCCCTCAATAATCCGCATATTTCAAATTTGCTATCGTCACCCCATCATTAAGTCGTTAATACATGACCCAACCTGTCAAGGCTAACTGGCGACCTGTGTCTCGTCTCTCGTAAAAATCAGTCTATTAAGACAGAAACTATGGGTTCTGTCATGGTTCGCCTGACAGGTTGTAATTTTTATTAACATTCTTCTGAACAAATTTATTTTTATTCCATGTTCGTCACCGACCCCATGTAATTCATTTCTTAAGGTTGGTCAACCACTTCATCTTTTTGTTATCAGCCTTCTATGTAGATCCCAGCCACTCCCAAAATGCCTTCAATGAATTTCGTTTCAGTCACTCTCCGGTTCTTAAATTTTTTTTTTTTTTTCATTGTTTCGTTATGCGGATACTTTTCACTTCACAAGAGCGACAAACCTTTATCAGAAAAATTTAATGACCCTATACTTTTTTTTTTTTTTTTTTTTTACGCTTCGTCTCTCTTGACTTAAAAGACAGTGGGAGCCCGCGACTTTAATATGGCTTGACTGGATCATTTCCGACCTCTCTCGCTTATCTATTCAGATTAAATTATTTATAATAGTCAACTCGGTCTGAAACAAGGTCAACTAATGTGGGGCACCTAACGAGGCTTGAACACTTTACAAATTCTTAAGCACTTAACCATATTTTCAATTTTTATATTCGACTTTTTGTGAAGATGTACTTTTAAAAATGTATAAGCGTACAGAATATGTTTTGAATATAGATAAACTTACCTGGTGGTATACAAGACCCACATTTTCCCACAAAAATATCTCCCAGGACTTATATGTCAAGTTGAGGAAATGTATCGATCCAGAAAGCCATATACGTCTCATGACGATCCCCAACACCGAACCATTTCAAATCTCATCAGGAATACGACAAGGAAAAAATTAATACCCGAATCTATTTAATATCTTCCTAGAACAATGGTTCTTAACCAGGGACGCAATATCGCTTCTTAGGAGGTTCGAAGATATACAATCATTAGGGTTGGTTTATTAAGGAAACTTTAGTGTAATGTTGATGATGACAGTGACATCAAAGAAGATCTCATCGATTTGAGAAACAATCGTGGAATCCAAACGGATTTCCCCGATGGTTGCTTGGAGAAATTCTGGGTTTATTAGTTGGAAACGGATCACATACTGTCAAAAAAAAGCCCTCGTTGTGCTGGGGCCTTTCACCAATACCTACCTGAAGGAAAGTAAATATTCATGTTTGCTTCATATCAAAACCAAGAGGAAAACTCAACTGGATCCTCAACACGACATGCAAGCAGCACTCAGCAACAAAACATCAAGATTTGATGTCATCATAAACAGAAAACAACAGCAACAAAGTCAGTGAGTTTGTTGCTTAACCAATAATCATTCACAGCACACCATGCACGTCACCGTCATTTTTATTTTATTTTATTTGTGTTTTTACTAATATGAAACTTATCTGGGCTTTTGTGAGATATTATTTTGTTGTCAGTTTTTTTGTTTTTTTTTTATAAAGAAACACGATGGTTTTGTTTTTTATACATGAGACCAATTCTGAAAGTTGAAAGGGGTGCAAGAACCGGTTGGTGGTTTGAAAGGGGTGCAAGAACCGGTTGGAGGTTTGAAAGGGGTGCGACAACCGGTTGGTGGTTTGAAAGGGGTGCGACAACCGGTTGGTGGTTTGAAAGGGGTGCGAACCGGTTGGTGGTTTGAAAGGGGTGCAAGAACCGGTTAGTGATTTGAAAGGGGTGCGAGAACCGGTTGATGGTTTGAAAGGCGTGCGACAACCGGTTGGTGGTTTGAAAGGGGTGCAAGAACCGGTTAGTGATTTGAAAGGGGTGCGAGAACCGGTTGGTGGTTTGAAAGGGGTGCAAGAACCGGTTGGAGGTTTGAAAGGGGTGCGAGAACCGGTTGGTGGTTTGAAAGGGGTGCGACAACCGGTTGGTGGTTTGAAAGGGGTGCAAGAACCGGTTAGTGATTTGAAAGGGGTGCGAAGAAACCGGTTGATGGTTTGAAAGGCGTGCGACAACCGGTTGGTGGTTTGAAAAAAAGTGCAAGAACCGGTTTTGAAAGGGGTGAGGTTGGTGGTTTGAAAGGGGTGCATTTGGTTATTTGAAAGGGGTGCGAGAACCGGTTAGAGGTTTGAAAGAGGTGCAAGAACCGGTTGGAGGTTTGAAAGGGGTGCAAGAACCGGTTAGTTATTTGAAAGGGGTGCGAGAACCGGTTGGTGGTTTGAAAGGGGTGCAAGAACCGGTTGGAGGTTTGAAAGGGGTGCAAGAACCGGTTAGTTATTTGAAAGGGGTGCGAGAACCGGTTAGTTATTTGAAAGGGGTTTGAAAGGGGTGCGAGAATCGATTGGTGGTTTGAAAGGGGTGCGAGAACCGGTTGGTGGTTTGAAAGGGGTGCGAACCGGTTGGTGGTTTGAAAGGGGTGCAAGAACCGGTTAGGTTTTGAAAGATTTGAAAGGGTGCCAGAGGTGAACCGGTTGATGGTTTGAAAAGGGCGTGCGAACCGTTTTTGGTGGTTTGGTTTGAAGGGGTTTGGTGATTTGAAAGGGTTGGAGGTTTGAAAGGGTGCAAGAACCGGTTAGCAAGAACCGGTTGGTGGTTTGAAAGGGGTGCGAGAACCGGTTGGAAAGGTTTGAAACAACCGGTTGGTGGTTTTTAAGAACCGGTTAGTGATTTGTTGGAGGTTTGAAAGGGGTGCAAGAACCGGTTGGAGGTTTGAAAGGGGCAAGAAACCGGTTAGTTATTTGAAAGGGGTGCGAGAACCGATTGGTGGTTTGAAAGGGGTGCAAGAACCGGTTGGTGGTTTGAAAGGGGTGCGACAACCGGTTGGTGGTTTGAAAGGGATGCGAACAAGGAAAAATCATTGCTCTAGAATATTCCTTGAAATGGCCTATTTCTCCCCTGCAGATTGTGATGACGTCACAGGGTATCAACCTTTCTCATAAACAACCGACACTCTACAGTGAAATCTTAAAAAACACTTTTTTCTTTGGAAGAAAGTAAGATTTCATTGGTCCGTCAATGTAAATACCAAAACTTCCAACACAAATCCTGGAAACAACATTTTAAAGAATTTGGACAATGCGCTTCTATAGGCTACTTGTTTCTATCGGATTCACCGTAAAATCATCAAATTATATTCTATGTGACGTGCCCGACCTGGAATTACTTCTACAGAAAACATTTCATTAGAACTTCAATGTAGCTGTCATAGGAATGGTTATGAAATCTTCCAAGAAGTAGGAACATAAAGGTGCAATCACCCCGGGTCAGGGTGAACCTGTGAATAACACCTATTAAGAGGTTGTTCCACGCTCATCAAAACCTACTGATCAGAGGCCTTGCTGCCTAATTATTTTATCGTCATACCCAGGACGAGTATAAAATAAAAATTTTAATCTTAAACTACTGGTTATATAAAGTTAAAGATAATTTATTTTTGATCATAAACAATACCAATTTCTTCGTAATTGGTTCCATCTCTATTTTACTTTTTTTAAGAATCAAGGATGGCAGTGAAAAAAAAAACTACTGTCATTGCGAGTAAATAAACTATAGGCTATTGCGAGTAAATAAACGGCATTTTCATATTTTAAGCAAAAAGTAAGCATTACTGTATTTTTTTAAATCCTTAAATTTACTTATTTAATTTGAAACACATATCTAGGACAAATATGGAATTAATAACAGATATTAAATTTTTTGTCTACATTTTTCGTCTATAATGCTGAGTTGATCAGTGACGGCTAAATGTGCCAATGCAAAAAGCATAAATATTGAGAAATTAATCATTGTCATTTAAATATTTCCTATCAGATCCCAAATGCTAATAGAAAAAAGCGTTCTTGTTTTCTCTCTAGAGGCCAGTGTGACGATAACGAGTGGGTGGAGTGCGGGTTATGTTGATGACGTAGGTATTCGTAGCTGTCATAGGAATGATTTTGAATAAATAATCAGCATTCTTTATGAAATGTTCCACGAAGCTGGACTTAAGATAAACCTTTCTAAAACAGAAACAATGATCTGGAATTAGATTGAATCTAATGAAGGCACCTACACTGAATCTATTATCAAAATTTCGCACAACACCACGAGATATTAGAAAACCAAAATATTAACCTTTGAACCCGAATCATGTTCCTAAATAGCTTTATCAGATCTTGACTTTCATTTCAATGTTATGAATATCTTCTAACTCATTCAGAAACATCTAAAATATCTATACAACCGTTTTCTGAGATCAATGATTAAAAATGGCTTCAACTAAATGAATCCTCTATGAGACAACCCATTATAATTTAGCTGTCCGCTACCACTTTTTCATCAATGTCGATTTTCGTGAAGAAAGCGGATCACATCTTCATACATATTTTTGAAAACCTGAACTTCTCATTGGACAATAAATATTAAAATTATCTCGTATATCTTCACGTACATTGTTCTCAATAAGCAACACAAAACATATCAGGCTCCAGACTGAGTTTTGTAAGGCGCTTTCTGAGTGGTTAACAGATATTAAAAAAACAATTTACCTGCTCACCACTACATCCGAATAACGTCAACCTAGTTTTTGACCTGATGAAAAAACAATGCTTTCAGGATCCTGTCACGTGATTAAAAAAACATATAAATTGAAGATACGAGCGAATCCAGTTAGTGAGAATTTACGACGACTAGAATTTGCTAAACGAGTTCATGACGCTTGTATCATTACTGCAGCGAAGTACAAAGTTAGAAACTCAAGTCCTTTAACATGAAATAACTTCACTGAAATTCAAGCTACAATTTCAACGAAACAACTCACCAACTTCTGCAACTTACTAAAACTTATTCAATTACGTTATTGAATCTTACGAAACTTAAGTACAAACAATTACGAACAATACATTCAACTACGAGCAACGAAAACAAACGGAACATTCACTTCTCCAACTTCTTTAAAGCAAAAAGTTTATCAACATATTTTCAGCTTTACAAGATTCTTTAAACTCTCTTTCAGTGAACATTTTGAACGACAAGATAATTCAGCTTTTACTGAGCTCCGATAAAAAAAGGGAAGTAACTCATATTAATACTTATTGTAAAACTGTTGTCATTTATAAATATAAATATTGTACATGTTATGAAAAGTTATTTTCTTGCGTTCTTTCTCTTGTTTGCTTTTTGTTTTCTTACACATTCGTAAAGTAAAAAAATGTGTGGGTTGATTTATGCCGTCAATACCACTACAATAAGATATTTGTTATATAGGCATAAAGTGTCGCTGCCGACACTTGTGTTTGAATATAGATCGCCAGTGAACAAATACAGGCAATCCAATTATTGAATTAAGTAGACTATGTGACCATAGAGGAAATGTATAAGTAGGAAGTGACGTGATGTCAAATTTCTCCTCTATCCTCTATTACTATTCAGATCATTTTTTCTAGTCTATCCTCTATTACTATTCGGATCACCTTTTCTAGTCTATCCTCTATTACTATTCGGATCACCTTTCCTAGTCTATCCTCTATTACTATTCGGATCGTCATTACTATTCGGATCACCTTTTTCTAGTCTATCCTCTATTACTATTCGGATCACCTTTTTCCTATCTATTACTATTCGGATCACCTTTTCTAGTCTATCCTTATTACTATTCGGATCACCTTTTTCTAGTTCCTCTATTACTATTCGGATCACCTTTTTCTAGTCTATCCTCTATTACTATTCGATCACCTTTTCTAGTCTATCCTATTTCGGATCACCTTTTCTAGTCTATCCTCTATTACTATTCAGATCATTTTTTCTAGTCTATCCTCTATTACTATTCGGATCACCTTTTCTAGTCTATCCTCTATTACTATTCGGATCACCTTTTCTAGTCTATCCTCTATTACTATTCGGATCACCTTTTCTAGTCTATCCTCTATTACTATTCGGATCACCTTTTCTAGTCTATCCTCTATTACTATTCGGATCACCTTTTCTAGTCTATCCTCTATTACTATTCGGATCACCTTTTCTAGTCTATCCTCTATTACAATACGGATCATTATTTCTACTCTTCTATTACTATACGGGCCGTTATTCTCTACTCTATTCACTATACTATTTCTCAATTCAGATCACTATACGGATTACTATTCGGTGGTTACTATTCGATCGAGTATTACCGACCAAGTACTATTAGAGCGAGTACTATTCGAAGGCGTCTGACACCAGTATTGTTCAACGGCGTTACTATAGTTGTATCTACGATTACAAAGTCTCTGCTACAACAAGCATTATGAAAGTGACAACGAGTATTCGTTCGCATTACAAAAGTGGCAACGATTGTTCGTTTACATCAAAAAAATATTATAGACTGGCGCTACACAATCTCAGTGAACGTTAACAAATAATAGAAAAATAAACATAAGTTGAAGACTTCCAACAGCAGCAACAACTAAAATGGATAGCGTATGTCACTAGAAGAGAAAATAATATTCAAGATGTTGACTTTCCACACTACCTTAACGTCCTATTGAAGACGATAAACTACGTCCAAAAGCAAGGCGGTTTGGGGGAGTCTGGAACCACCTCTTAATTGCTGGTGTTCCCAGATCCATTCTGCCCTGGGGTGGTAGTAACTGTTAGGGTCCCAGTTATGGGCAAATAGCTAACCCACAAACTGGGGTCAAAACACTATGAAAGTGTAAAAATTGGTTTTAATACCAGAAATACTTTGTAAACAATTATTAACAGCAATAAATTTTTGAAGAAAAAAATTATTACCAGTTATTCATTTTTGCAAAAAAAAAGAAAAAAAATTACCAGCAATAAAAATTTTGTCGGCATTAAATAACCCATTGAGGTTGATATGCCGTAAAACAAAATAAACCAAACCAATCTAAACCAAAGAATACATACTCTATTCATAAGAATCTATCCTAAAAATTTTGTCGGCATTAAATAACCCATTGATGTTGATATGCCGTAAAACAAAATAAACCAAACCAATCTAAACCAAAGAATACATACTCTATTCATAAGAATCTATCCTAAAAATTTTGTCGGCATTAAATAACCCATTGAGGTCGATATGCCGTAAAACAAAATAAACCAAACCAATCTA